GTCTGCGAATTCATATGGTTGGAGCATTCCTGGTATCCCTGGGGGTTGCAGCTCTCTATAAGTTTGGTGTGGCTGAACCAAGAAAGAAGGCATACGCAGATTTCTGCAAAAATTACAGTCCCGAGATAGATTTTGAGGAGATGAAGAAGGCTGGTATCTTTTGTAGTATAAGGTGATCTTGGAATAGAAAGAATTTCTTCAGGTTGAATTACCTAGAAGCTTGTCACTGACTCGGGTTCCTCTACTATGACACATGAATATGTGGGCTAAGAAATAGTTTCTCTTGATAAATAAACAATTAACAAATAAAAAAAATCTTGTATTTCCCTTTGAAATAAGCTCAGCCTCTCACTTAAAACAACAGTACTTTTCCTCAGAGACAGTTGGTATTACAATTCATCATCTTATACCCTCAATAATTTTAATATCAATTTATTATTTCCAGATTTTCTGTTTAACTGCAGACTTTCTGTGCATTAATAGTTACGGAAGTTCTAGCTCTTTCCCTTATTGTGTCATCATCTGTCTTAGAAAACTGGGATTTGAAATGAAGCTGAGTTTGGTGATTTTGAGATTGAGATTCCCCTGATCATGCGGTCTGATAAAAATGTTTTATGTGTGTAATCAACTCATTCAGTAAATATGTAGTGAATGCCTGTGATGTGCCAGACACCGTACTGGGTGCCTGAGATTCAGCACGAGGTTGCCTTTAGGAACCTTACGTTCCATGTAGGGGTAGCAGAGAGAGATGCATGTCAGATAATGATGAGTGCATTTAAAAAAAAAAATTAGCAAAGTAGGGGATATTGGGAATAGAGAAGAGATTGCTGGGTCCTTTAAAGTTTTTTTCCCCTCCAGCTTTATGGAGGTATAATTGCAAATACTGCCTATATTCAAGGTGTGCAACATGGTGTTTTGATACACATATACATTGTGAAATGATTCCCACGATCAAATTAACACACCCTTGACTACACATTTTATGCATCTGTGGTGAAGACACTGAAGATCTACTCTCTTAGCAAATTACAAGTCAATAATATAGAATTATTAACTCAAGTAGATAATGCAGTATTAACTAAAGTCACGATGCTATACATCGGATTCCCAAAACATAATTCACCTTGAACCCAAAAGCTTGTACCCTTTGGCCAACGAGATTGCTGTTTTGGATAGGATGTGTGGGGAAGGCCAACTTGATAAGGTGTCATTTGGCAAAGACCTGAAGGTAGCGAACCACACAAATGCTTGAAGAGCAATCCAGTCCTAAGAAACAGCTGTCCAGGAAGAAAGACAACTGTTATCTTAATTCTAGAATCTTAGCCTGATAGTTCTAGCAGAACCTATTTCAGATTCTCTTTCTCTTACCTGTTACAAATG